GATGAATAGTTGCATGACAGGGCAAAGCAGTACACCATTTCGGCGCATACAACTCCTTTTTCTTAACAAGGGCGACCACTTTGAAAAAGTAATTGACCTTTTACAATCTATTAGCCTTCCAAACTTCCTTTGTCGCAAACACGAGGTTAAGAAAGTCTTTTTCACGATGGCTACGTGACCCATGAGCATGAGGTCATACATGTTGTCTAGAACTAAATTTTAGCGCCATGGTAACGTGACGTGAATAGATGAATGAGAAACTTTATTTCAACACGATATAATATTCAGCACAGCTGGTGGGGTAATGCATTTTAAATTAGAACTAATAATCGCTTTCTTTCTCGACTACGGGAATATTTCACTAACTGACCTTATATATATCAATGTTATGCTTCATTCTTCAAAGCCTCCCGACACATGTAAATGATGTGGACGGGTATTCTGAAGTTGCTCCCAGAATACCCGGCCACTCATCTACATGTCATTGAATAAGAATAGCATCTATTGTGTTATGCTTCATTCTTCAAAGCCTCCCGACACATGTAAATGATGTGGACGGGCATTCTGAAGTTGCTCCAATTTCGTAACCGTAATCAACGTCTGAAGGGAGACTGACAAAATGCCAGTATATCATGGGGCGCTAAAGAGTTACACGCCCTAAAGTTCCGCCGCTGTGAGTAATCGGTTATCCACAATGCAAGCAATACAGGAGCTTGCTCAAAGAAAACATTATCCTAAGCTTGTCTAGACAAATTACAACAATCAACTATTCCATATATTTGGTATATTTCTGTTACTGATCGAATCCGAAAACACATTCTATGCAGAAACAGACTATTGTTTTTCAAGGACGATGTGCAATAAATAATGAACTAAATTTCCATGCAGCTTAAAATACTACAACGTTCAAGGTAAGTTTTCCAAAACTACTTACCGAATGGTAACAACACAACAAGAAAACAAAGCAGCAAAGAATTCATGGTTCCCTAGTCTTTCCTGCGAGTACCAACTTGGTCACCGATCACTTCACGTGCACCTCCGCCAATGTAATCTATTGCATAACTTGCACTTATTGCAAAAAGATATACATCGGCGAAACAGGCAGAAGACTAGGTGACCGATTCCGAGAACACCTTCGAGACGTGGAAAGGAATGACAAGGACACATCGAAACCAGTCGCTAGACATTTTAATTTACCTAATCATTCTAAGCAACATATGGCAATCTGCGGTCTTTCCTTACACTTAGGTAGCACGGAAAGCCGTAAAACTCTTGAACAAAAGCTCATCTTTCAAACCGGCAGTCTAAATCCCACAGGGATCAACGAACGCTTTTCATTCCACTAATTTATTCGTGTTTTTCTCGTTGCCATGTTCCCACCAATAACGTAGCTCCATTTTCTGCCTTTAAAAGCACACACAACCCACAATTCCTCTATTCGCTCCGACGAAGGGCTAACGCTCGAAACGTCAGCTTTTGTAATCGTTACGGTGGCCAATTTACCATTTCAACTTTGTGGATATATCCAAATTATTTCGTTACCCCACCGACGCAGCCCCAAACAGTTTCTTTAGAAACTATCAGCCTTTATTCATTGGAATATATCCTACTGACTTGCCATAGCCATCTTTACCTCGATTTTCGATTTGATCATTATGTGCCGGAGTTTGTAGTAAACGGGGTAAATTATGACAAATCAACCCAAAAGTGCAAGAAACCCAACAATGATTTAGAAACCACTAAAAAAAAGAGCAGCTAAAATCAGCGGAACCGTAAATGAAATTTAGAGACAGAACTAAAAAAAGTACAGCTAAAATCAGCGGACCGTAAGAAAATCACATCGCAATCTATTGTTTCAAGTTTTCACAATCTACTTCTTCAAATTTTTGTTATACGGCAAAAACCTGTGATATTCGAAAAAAACAACTGAAGGCCAAACTTCTGTGATGAAGGAAGACTTCGTGACGCAGACAAATTATCACAACTTTGACCTCTCAGTCGATCTCACCTCCAGTAGATCAACGGAGCGTCAAAACTATATAATTTTATGCCGACGAACCATAATCTATGATCTTCAACTATTAAAGAAAATAAAACTATTGTGATATGGATAAAATGTTGTCATTGAAGTCGCAAGTCGAACAATGACGACTGTAACTAAAGCAAGACTGCAAATAAAGCGTGAACAACAACGCACCCTTCGATCAAAAGTCGCTTTGTTATTTACGTAGCAAGTTGCTCTTCCGCGTTTAGGACGTTCAGGTTAGAAGAACGATGCCATCACAAGGCGTTAACGAAGGAGCGATAGAACTTCAAGGAAAGTAATGTAAGAGGCCGGCTCACAATGATTGCGAACAGCATGTTTTCCTGAGATCACTTGGAACTTGCTCATACAAATTTTCTACTTTATCCTGACCCCCTTGAATGAGTACTTTTGCTTGAAGACATAACTACAACGGAGTCTCTTAACCCGTCCCAAGCGACGTGTTGCTCTATAGATCACAGGATATGATTGACCATTGCATCACATTACGTAGGAGGACATATCTACAACAAGAGGACATATGTGCCACGGTACAGACACAACTGTAGAATTCATTGAAAGAAAAAAATGGAAAATCGGGTTAACGATTGGCCATGGCAACTTGGGATCTATTTAATTCGGAGGATAAACTCTTAGACTTCACCCCGTTTTTTGTCAAATTCACTGAAAAAAAAANACTAAATCGGTACCTTGGCTAAAAGAATACTTAAAACAACGAGGCATTCAAAGCTCAGGAAAGCGTAAGGCTGAACTAATAGAACTTTGTGTAAAAAGTGAGGAGATAAAAGTCCCGAAAATCTCGAAGAAGAAGAGCCAGTCGATCCAGCAATTTCAATGAAAGAGCAACTGAAAACTACCGATGAAGGGTACTTGACCAATCCGTTGAACAAGGAAAATCAGGCTTTTGGTAAATGGACCCAAAATTTTCAAACTTATCAGACTTTAGATTTCAAACGTATCAGACTTTAGATCTTGTGGGAAAGGATCTCGGATATAACGCCGAAAGCTTAAAAAGTTACAAATCTCTTTTGGGATACAAGTTGTACTTCGATGGACACGTAGAAGACCTTCGTTATCATCCACCACAACCTAATACCAGTAGTTACAGTTATTTTGTGTTTGCTGTAAAGCCAACTGAAAGGTCCAAGACTGATGATAGGTCTGCAACATATAAGGGTTTTTTTTTTATTTTAAAGAAGGATGGAAGTGTACATTCAGCCAACTGCCCATGCAAAGGAGGGTATGTATTTTCATTCACAACTTTTACTTCTGAAGTAAGATAACTGTAATTAGCCGTAAGAAGTGCAATGAGCCAGGATTTGAAATACATACGAGCTACAAAGCTAAAGAGAGAGCTAAATGTTTGCAAGATGATAATAATGTTACATTACAATCAGCTGATGAATTGTAGATAACAAAATAACATCCAAGTCGATTAAATATCCATAATGTTGATATGAAACAACAAAAATATGCTATGTATTAAATGCTTTAATTAAAAAAAAAAAACACCTAGCTAAATGAAAAAATAGAAATTAGACTTGTGTGGTAATATACCGGCCACCACTAATTTTCAGAGAAAAACAATTAAAGCTATTGGGTGCATTTACAGTGCACCAAAAGCTTCACTCAGCTAAAGCATAAATATACAAAAGAAACAAGCTGAGGACTAAAACACACTTCCTTTTCTGATCATTTTATTTGTCTGAGAGTAGTATGTGATAAATATTAGTCACATTGGTCTCCTTTTGATAGGGCAGATGGAGGTTGCTGCCATATAGCTGCAGCACTGTTTGATCTGGAAGCAAGCATAAGATTTAATGATCTCCAGTCATGTACATTAGGACAGTGCATGTGAAAAAAGAAAGGAAAGAGAAATGAGGGAAGTTTGCCCATCCAGGACTCAGAAACAAGTTGTGGTGGCTATGGTGTAACAGTAAGGGACTCCATAAAGTCAAGGGATTTTAATCCACTTTGTATTCCTTATGACCCAACTGTATTAGAACAACAGTTCAAAACTGGGTTGCTGGAAACATTCCCAAGCTCTTCTGCTCTGCCTTTTTTGCATTCAGCTGAAGAACCAGGG